ACATAAATTCTTTTTTTCTCTTGAAACAGGAGCAGCCACTGCACATTTGGAAGGTGAAAATATAGATGATTAATCAAGATATTAACAGGAGTAGGCTTTTAGACTTGTGTTTTGATTGCATGTTGATTGCATGGATCCTGTGTTTTCACAGTCCTTAAATTTTTCTTTGTTTTAAAACACTGAATGTAAGAAGTGGCTTTCTTATCTCAGACTAGCTGCATAAGGTTAGAAAATTACCCTCCACGCTGAAGTATATGTGCACAAATGCATTACCTTTGCTATTAATATCTTTTCCCATATTCTTAACGTACAATGGATTGTTTCCTTTTAAATAAACATGCATAAACCGGTAAAACAAATACAGGAAGTTTTAAACTATTAAGGAGATGTTGAGAGAACTATGATTCAGTGAAAACCTTGGATGAGTGGACCACTGGCATGCGGAGGCTCACCAGCAGCTGTGCCAAATGGGGGCTGTGGTCAGCCTCGTCGTTCGTCCCTGCAGCCCCAGGCGGGGTGGCAGAAGCTTTCTGCAATTAAAACATTTTGCCAACAGCGTTAGGGATTGTGTTTCTAAATTATAATTTCATGCAGTTGCCTTTACAGTTGTAACAGGAGATGTTAATGACTGGATTTTTCTTCCTTCAGCTGTCTCAGTACGGAACAGCCATAGCGCTGTTTCCAAAATCCCAGTTAAGGGTATGGCTGCGAAGGCAACCAGTAGTGGCCCTAATTGCAGCGCTCGCTGCTGCTGTATTACATAAGGGATACGCTGACCTTTACGCTGCAGAATAGACGGGGTGTTCGTAAACAGGCGACTCTCCTCTGTTCTGCTGACCTTGCTGCTGTGGAGTTGATAACGATGGAGATGGACGTGTCTAACTTCTTATTTCTTATGATGGTCCCTGATTGTTTTTTGCCTTGACAAATACCACTGATGCGATTTGATAAGGATTTTGTTATGAGAAGGATGTAAACTTATTGGATCAGGAAGAATGACTGTAGCAAGATGACTGAAATGAGGTAGCAAATTGCTAAACCAGTCCAGGTACCTATGAAGTATTCCCCTTAAATTTAAATCCAATATTTCAAGCTTTCATTGAATTTTAATTCAAAACTTGAATCGATAACAAGCAGGTTTGAGAACACTGTGATACTCAAAAGAAGGACACTTAAAGAGTTCAGGACTGGTATTTCTTTCCTGTAATTAGGATGAAGAAGCAGCTTCCCTGGCATTTATTGATCATCCGCTCAAACTCAACAAATTCCTGGTATTGCTTTTTGGCAAGTCACTGATATTTTATGGCATCATAGAAACAGGGCAGGTGCTTGAGAATTATAGCTCATATGCTAGCTTCCTAATGCAAATATGTCAGAATAGCGAAGTGGTGAGCCTTTAGGATATATTTATGGAGAATAGGAAGTAAATGAACAAGTTGGTACTTGGTGCACCTTGAGTGGGACGGGCTAGCATCAGTGCTCTCCAAGTGAAACTACCCTCAAACTGTGTTGATCTCTTGGATAAATGGGTCCAGAAATTCAGCTTTTGCAGCTAAGAATCCCTATGACTTGTGCTACTAGCAGGTATGGTGCTATTTGGGATCGTCTCAGACAATAGGTGCTGACAATTATTTTTAATTTTTGAAGCCAGTATGTAGTTATATCCTAGCCCAACATTGGAGCAAGATTGCATGAGAAACCTAGGATGGCATCTGGGTGGGTTCTTTATTTTTAAATAACAGTAACTTTCATGGTGTGGAAGAATTAAGTAGAGAATTTTCCAATGTGCAGCGGTGGCTAGTCTAGAAATGGTAGAAATACGACTGTTTCTGGGTTTGAGAAATGGCAAGTGAAATAGGGAAAAGAACTGTAATGCAATTTCATCCTGTTGGCTGTGTTTACATTATCAGGTAGCTCGGCAATTAGCACTTTCTCTTAATCTGAAAAGGTCAAGAGATGCATTTCTTGGAGGCAGCTGTGACATCTCACCGGTTAATGCACTTGGACTCTCTTGGTTTAAAAAAATAAAATTGCAGAATGTGTGAGGACATGTCAGGTTAGGTTTAGCAGTTGAATATATTCATTTTTGCCTTGATTCTCAGAAATATTCCAGTAAAAAAAAAATCATGAGGACTTCCATTTGAAGTTCAGCCACATGCTATAGCCTAATGGAAATACCCTGTTAAATCAGATGCAGGTGGTGGCAGAGGGGATTATCATTAGTATGTTGATATGGCGTGGTAGGTTTATATTGTTGCTAAAGCAGAGTGAAGGAAATAGAAAAACCAGTAGAGGGAAATCCATCAGAGATAGGGCTCTGGCTCCTTCCTGATGGGAAGGATTCATGTGCTCAATAATAGCGAAGGGAAAACGTGTGAACCCGTGAGATCTTTGGTCTCTTTGACCACAGCCTTCAGACAGAACTTGTTTTAAAACAGTTTCTGATATCCTGAGGGCTGAACGCTTGTGGAGGGTGCAGACACATCCACAGGCAGTCCTGCTGCGTTTTTCCAGCGGAAGTCTGCAGTCTCTAGGGCTTTAACGCTGTACGCACGCACTGCGAGGTCTTTAAGAGGAGAACACAGGAAAAGTTGGAAAGCGATGTTCATGAAGCTGTTTTGCATTCTTTCTCCCCTTCAATTCGGTAACAGGGATTTGGGGCATGGTGCTGAAGCGCGGGAAATGCCGTGAGGTTTGCTTTCTTGGCTTGTCCTCTGGAAAACGCAGCCTTGTGGGAGAACATGAAGCATGGAAACGCTTTGCTGTGGATTTTTTTGAACCTTGTTGATCCTTGAGATTTCTCTGCATTTTTTTATTTATCCGTTCCCCATTATGGATATGAATTGGATTCTAGGACTTCAGACCAAACTACAGTGGAATTTTTGGGGGGTTTAGGAGCAGTAGAACATAGAAAATAATTTTTAATTACTTACTGTAATGTGAAAGACCATTAATGCAAATTTAAATAAATTCATATTTAATCAAATTGGAGGTATGTTTTAGTACTGGAAACCTTGGCTGCAGCGAGGTTAAACTGAGTTGCAGTGGAAAGCATAAGAGGCTAAGATCCTTGTATGCAAGTCATCGAGCTGATGCTGGCTTTTGGGTTCACGGCACCTCGTTTAGGAGATAAAACTCGCTGTTGTTTTGCATCCTTAGCATCCGAACCCTGGGAAAGCGATTTGAGCGGCACATCTCTCTTTCCTAGTGGTGTTCAGAGTCGATGTGTCATTTGGGGGACCTTTTCCCGTCGGAGGAGCCTGGGGCCACTGAGGCACGTGCTGTGGCAAAGTCATGGGAGCACGCCTCGAAAATGAGGCTGCTCTGTACAGGACATTAACTCATAAATCATGCGAATATTCTCACTGATAAATCTTCCACTGTGAAAACCTTTTGATACTTGTCTGTTATTAATGACAAAAAGGACTTAATTCCGTTAGCTAACAGTCTTCCAATTTTCTGTAGAGCGTTCAGCAGTCTAGTGAGATAGAGACTGACACAGACTGCGCCTTCATTTTCATTTCTGTAGCAAGACTCCAGAGGATAGCAGGAGAAGTTTCCTTTCTAAAAGTCCTATTTTTTCTACCTAATAAATTTTGAAATTATGAGAGATTTTGACACAGGTTTGTAGGTATTACAGTGGAAAGGGAGAGTGAAGGTGGAGTTCGTGCAGTACCTGATCAAAATTCCTCAAATGATGCATTTACATAAGCTGGAGAAAAAAGGCAGGAGGCAGTTTATTTGGATTTATTAGTTTTTTGCTTTAAGCTGCACTTCATTTCTAGTTCTCGCAGCTTCAGCAAGGGCAGTGTGGGGAGGATGGTGTTGAGCAAATTGTGCCTGTATGGAAGGATGTGGGCAGGAGCAGGTTTTCAGTGTCCACCACTCTGCAGTAAATGATATCTAAGGGTTTGGTAACTCCAGCTGGCCAAGTTTCAAGGCTGTTTATTTGCATCTGACAACTGATGCAATTAATCGCAATCCTGAATGAAATTTCACTTTATTTTAAAATAGCACTGCCTGCAGGAGCATATCATTACCTCGCTCTTCTCTGGCTCATCTCAGTAGCTGCAGGTAAATAGTGAAAAGGCACATTGGTATCTGGACATGGTACATCTGGGCGGTGACCTTCATCTTTGAGGCTCCCAACCCAATCACATCTGTGTGTGGATATGTCATGCAGTTTCATTCTTTTATAAAAATAAACCTTCTAAATATTGCCGCCCAATGCGTGTGATAAGCAAGACTGAAAATACTAGTTGTACTCACTCAAGGTTTTCATCTATAAAGCTTAGTTCAACTTGGTGTGAACTCATAGGGTTATTTATAGTTTTCTGTTACTCGCGGCATCCTCTGTTTTGTTATAATGAAAAAGCTGTCCTCTTATCGCTAAGTTGTTATATTCATGGAGTACATGGTATGAGGTTCAGTGCATCTCGTTTAGGGCTGTCACACAAATAAAAATGAAGAATGTATACTGGTTTTCCACATAAGTAAACTTATGTTGCTTTTTTACTAAGACTTCTGCAGTGAGGTGCTGCTCCAAAAAAAAGTTCACCCACGTCCTTTCCTTGAGGAGGGAGAAGGAAAGAGGAAAAAGTTGGCTGAAAAGGAGAGTTTCTCTGTAACACCCGCAAACACCTGACTATTTAGCAAAAAGCTGATTTGGATTACAATCGAACTAAAACCACGAGGAACCTGCAGTTCTTCAAGCCCGGCACACTGTGCAGAACTCGAAGCTGAGTAAATGTGTGCTGGTGGCTGGCTGGCTGTGACCGAGGAATTGCATAAATGCTTCCCGAAATCCAGAGGTTTGAGTTTACTTTTGTCCTGGTGGGCAGAACTGTCTACTTTTTTTTCTCCTCTCTTCACCCTGTTTATACTACTTGCACGTGTGACTTCATTACATAGCACTTAATAATGAGATTTTAAAAAATTATCTTATTTGGAAAACAAATAATTATTGTACAGCTGCAAGCAGTGGCCAGCTGTAAGTCGTCATGCATAGATTTTCCCGTCTCCTGCTGCACCTCGACTCTGTCCTTGTGCTCTTCAGTCGGTGTCCCAGCTTCGTAATCACGTCTGTGTTTCCCCTGGTCCTTCACCGGGCTCTCGGCATCGTCCCCCTTGCCGTAGGCAGGCATCATGGGTGGGGGGGGGCTTCGGGGCGCTGCGGGGCAGACTATCAACTTGGGTAAACAGTGGGGAAAATAAGTTTGCGCAGTTGTCTGTGGAGGCTGTTGGTTCTGAATATTGCTGTAACAAGCAAATTTTTCAGGTGTGAGGCAAACAGGGAGTTAGCTGTGCCGTCTGAGTGACTGAAAACCAAGAAACCTTGTTGGGCTCTCACTGTAATGGGGATGTTTGTTGATTGAGTTAGCCCTACAGTTTCTTGGGTTTCTTTGTTCTGTTCGCTTTTTTGTCCATTTTCACTGAAATTTAGCTCTTGGAGCAAAGGCTTTTTTGTCCTGGTTGTACAACACCGATGGCGATGTGGTCCCAACCTACGTGACTGCAGCAGACATACTTGTGGTGTTCTGTCCTGTTTCTCTCCTGACGGTTGTACAAACCAAACTGGAAATACAGCTCAAACATCTACTGAGTCAGACTGGATTTATTTTTTAGCCAAGATGAATTTGACAAGTATGTTATTGTTGTCTTGTACAATATTGAGAAATGCTTGGCATTTGTTTCCAACTACATCCTATCAGTAATCGTAAAACCAGACTAGTAACAATGGGAATAAAAAAAATGTTTCTTTTACTAAGGAATGATTGATTTTTTTGTATATTTTTTTGCCAGCAGACACATTCTGTTTGTGTTCCAGCAGTTATTTGCATAACACTGCTGCTGTAAGCCAGTGAATATAATTTTGTCACAATAATCCTTTTCAAATCAGTGTCAAAACACATCAGATGTTACTGATAAACCAACCATGAAACTGCTAGTACTTGAGATTTTTACAAAGGTCACTGTTCTGCTAGTTAACATGTTTATTGAGACTTTGGTTTTAGATGCTGACTTCTTAGGATGGATCATTTTAAGTTGGAGTTTTGAAAGTAAAGGCCATAGTGGAGGAAACTTGAAATATGCTGTTTCTTGCCCTTTTTTTTTAAATTACTTTTGAAAACTACTCAATGTCTTGATGAATGTTCCTTGGTGAAAATGCATGCGATTAAAGAGGAGTTTGTTTTTATGAACAGGTGACTTCCAAAGAGGGAGAATCTCAGTGCAAGCAGAAACACGTGGTTCTGCTTAGCCCCGTGGGAAAACTCAAGATATCTGGGTGTGAAACAGGCTTACATGAAATAAAACTTCCAAAAATGAGCGCGCTGCCAAGTGGGTAAGTTCATGTCCTATTGATCCTATGTTTATGTATGTGGTAAAGGAAAGAGATTGCCCAGAGGACCTCAGACACGACTATGCGTACTTGTTTTTACTAGCCATACTGGGAACAGAGTACTCTCTCCTGTGAGAGGCAGCAGCAGCTTCTTTTGTACCTTTAAGGAGTGGCAGCTCTAAAATGCATTTCTTTCTCGGCTGCATCTATAACATTAGCAAAGAAATGTTCTAAAATAAAAGTATTTTTAACGTAGGTTTTGAAAGTCCATCCTGCCCCCTAATTTTGGACACATGTGTAAATCTGTCACTGAGGAGTAAGACTTCCTTGCACGCTTGCAAATTTTGCAGGCCTGTATCTAGAGATATATGTTCCAATAGGCAGAACCAGGATTGAACAGTTGTTTTAATTACTGTATGCTACTTGTGAGAACTTTGGTTTTGCATAGCTGTGATGTCTTGTGGAGTTCAGAACAGATGATATACATGGCGGTGGAGGTGGTGTCTCAGATATAGGCCTGATTGAGCAGGTGTGGGTATATTTTACTGTTGAGTGTAAGTGCTGTTCAATCTGCTAAAGTACATCTGGCCTGTTCAGATCTTTGGTTTGCTTTTTCCTCATTTGTGAGGAAATGCTGACTGACACTTCTAGAAGGAACACCGAATTCTTTCAAAATTAGTAGACGCCAAATTTCTTTGCCAAATTCCTCTGCCAAAATGAGAGTTACCAATACTACTACTTGTTAAGGCTGGTCTCTTCAACTGCTTTTGGTAATAAAATTGCAGCTTTGCCACAGTCCGTTACAGCAGAACTTTTCCTGACAAGACGCAAACAGGTTTGGCTTCCTTCTCCACATTGTCCTTTTCTCCCCTGCTTTTCGCTTCTGAAATTCTCCATTGATTTGTGGGGTTTCCCCTTTTCTGTTTTCCTATTTTATTACCCTTGTAATTTAAGTGTGTGTAAAAGTAATCAGGAATATGAAGTATAATGTGTATTCTGACTGAAATATGGTTTTGCCTCTAATACAAAAACCCTCAGGCCTCTGGGTTTGACAGTTTTGCCAACTCCAGTGATACAGAAACAAGTACTTCAGTTTCTTCAGATGCTGATTTCAGGACTGGATTTCTGATGAGGAGGAACGGAAATAAAGCAGTATTTAGGATAAGGCCGAAGCTTGTCTTTGGTGCAGAGCAGCATCTGCCTGAAGAACAACTCAGGACATGAGGACTCTTCACCCTTGAGAAGGCGAAACGTCAATGAGTGGGTGGAAGAATAGTAGGAAAAAAGGTCTGTGGGGGCTTGAAGGTGACAAATACGAGAAATTGTGTGTTCTTGACAATGCTAGACATAAAGTGAATTGCATGAAAATAAAAGCTGAAGATAAACAATTGCGAAGTTGGGGGTACTAAAAAATACAGGCTCCAAGTGAAGTGGCAGATTATTGGAAGAAAATAATTACAGGCTCTTAATTAGTAGAGGCCAAGAAGGTGGATGGTGGAGTATTGTTATACTGGGTGTGTTTGTGTGGCTCTCCTGGAGAAGTAAGAGCAAAGCTCTGACTTCTGTGTTTTAATGTTGATGTTTCAAATGTTTCACTTGATGGCTTGCCTTCTCTTTTTGAACAAAATTCTTAGGGACAGTAAATATCTTCAGAGCAAGTGGTGGTGGGGAGGCAGGGTAGAGGAATCGATCCTTCAGGCTCACGGACCTTTTTCCAGGAAATTACTCCTGTGTTTCCAAAAGCTCCGAGTGCTTTGTTACTCACCTCTGCTTTCACAAATCAAAGATGCTGCTACTCAAACTGTGGGTCCCTCCCCTCCTGGGGGAGCCTTGCTGCAAGGCAAGGTCGGTCCCGTTTGTAAGGACAGCTGGTTTACAGGGACTGGCGCTTACTCCAACATGGCCAGGTTGGCTGGTTGAAGAAGGATCTTGTGATCTTGTTCTTCAGGCAGCCTGCCTCCTTTTCCTGATTCTTTAATTTCTATCTGATCTTGGTCTTTCAGTTTTCTCAGTGGTGAGCTCGCTTAATTTGCCGGCCTCACAGAAGTGTTGCGGCTTTAGTGGCATCTTGATAACCCTTAACTTAGCAGATTGCATGATTTATATGCAAAAATTGTCATAGGTGGAATATTACTCAAGAGTGTTTCAGAAGTTAACGGTAAGTAGAATATCCTTCCAATTACTTTAAGAATTTAAATCCAAAAAAGAGGTGGAAGGTGGGACTTGCTTTTGTCTTTACCGATGATAAAGTTCTAAAAATTTTAAAGCCATCTGTAAATGTTTGTGCTGAAGTATAACATTTAATCTCTTCTACTCATTGCTAGTGAATAGTTGTTAAATCTGGCCTCATTATTTTCGACAGAATAAAATAAAACCAAAACAGTGCCCAGTGTTTCTCCTAACTGGCTAATAAACACTATGGTAAGAACATTGGGTGGAAAAAAAACGTAAGAAACATAAAAATTGATTTTAATGGACCCCTGTCAGAGAGAACCATAATGAGCGTGAGTCTAGTAATAAATATTGGTATTCTGTTCCGTGTTGCTTGGGACTTTTCATGTAACAATCAATATAGATTTTAGGGTTTTTTAACAACAAAAATAAGTAAACCTTTGAAATATATAAATACTTAAGACTTGCAATCATCAGACAAACCTGCTAGTTGTAGGAAAAAATCTGATAAGAGTGCCTGGTTAATGGCGTAATCAGTTTGTGGAGATCTTGCTCTATTTTACAGCTTGTAAAATGCTGTGCAATTAATCACCTGAGATTACAACCTATTCTGTGATGGCTCTCCTTAAAAGTTAAGAACACAGACTATAATGTAGACTACAAGGAGAAGCAACAAAGTAAAATTCAGTTTTCAGTATGCTTGAAAGAAATTGATCTATTAATGAGATGAAACTAATTGTAATAACCTAAGGTTATTCTGCTCCTCGTGAAGCTGGTAGAGTTTAAAAGTCAAGGCATGTCACAGCGTAATGGTTTCTGTTTGGGGAGGAGGAATTTTTATTCAAGCTTTTTAAATATATGTGTGTATATATACATAAAATAAGATTTCATATTTATACGTGAAGACTTTCAGCTAAATATGACTGAACATTTTACTGAATAACTAAAATTGTTTCTAACCATTTTTTATTCTATGTGCAGTACTAACATTTGGCTAACTTAAAACAGTAACTTGAAATCACTTATTTCTATTTTAGTATTTAAATTGTGGATCGGCTTGTTTACTTAGCATTTGGGTTGGCACTGTCAATTAATAAAATGCTGAAGATAAACCAGAATATACAATGTCAGTATCAGAATAGCTTAGGGATAATCAAAGTCTTTGCGTTTGATACCCATACGCTGTACGACGGAGGCTGCAGTAGTTTTAACCTACGTACAGCATCCTAAGGAGGTGCGCGCGTGGCTGTCCCCAGATCCCTGCACTGGGCTGTTTCTGGAACAAGTTGGAGTATGTTGCTTCGGGGTTGTAAAGCGGGGCAAGAAGTATACCGAGGATGAAGCTTGTTTTTTATCAGTTTGTCTGTTTCTAAGAACTTCAGATTCACAGTTCGTATTTTCAAAAAAAGAACTAAAAGTATGTGTATCCTGTATGTATATGTTTAGTACTATATCAGCTGTTGTAGTTCTTCTTTCAGTGTATACAAATATAAGCAGTAGTTTTGATCAAGAAGGTTTTCTTTCCTCCAATATTCCTGCCTTGAAATATTGCGAGTGTTTAACTCTTTCTGCTCAGGTCCAAAAGAAAAACTCACTTTTTTACTGCCATTGTACTTCTAAGTGTCTTTAGCAGCTTTGACGTTTCAGAATGAGCTTTCTTCGTTATTCCGCTATCGTCTGCGATGTTCCCACCTTGGGACGGCTGTTTTGGGAAGCCTTGTCTTACTCCTGAGCCAGAAGGGTAAATTATCCGCTGGGCGAGTGGGGGGTTGCGCTTGACTTCTCTTAACAGTAACAGAAACCATGCTTGTATTTTCCTGTGCTAAATATTTACAGCAGAAGATACTTTGGAAGCATGGGGATGTTGACTTGGCAGCTGAGATGGCAGCAGGGAACAGTTTTTTTCCCTCTGTTGGAAAAATCCAGATTCTTTCAGGAATTCCCTCTTCCCTCAGGAAAGTTCCCATCGCCCTGCGCAGTCAGCATGTGGCACGGGTTGTGTAAGCTGGCAGATGTGCTAATGCAGTGAAATATGGTGGCAACTGGAAGATTTCAGTAGAAGAAAGGGCAGTAGTATAACATGCCTTGAGGTAAAATGAAACGGCTTCCAGTGTGTGGTTGGAAAATCCTGTCCTGCTGGGCACAGGGTCAGAAACAGGGCAACTTACTACTGCGTACTGATGAGCGTGCATGTGAAATGAAAGTTAAATTTGCCTTCTGAGTGGGCACAGATCCCAGATTATGCTACTATTGACATTCCCCATGGGATTTAAGGATGGCACCATGAGCAGTCATGGAGTTTTCCGCTTCAAAGCTCAGCTGAGCTGGCTGTGGTCTGTTGCTGCCCTCCTTGGACGGGCCCAGCGCTGGGCAGGATCTGGATGATTTGGGGACAGCCACCCCCTTGCTGCTGGGCTCCTGCTGCTCCAGCCCGGGCGCTGCCGGGGCGCATGGCCGGCTCGAGCTCGGCAGAGGAACCCGAGCTTCCATCTCCTTCAGGAGACAACGTGTGCAGGTGGTCTGCTCCTCCTCCAGGGACTCGGAGCTGGGAGTTGTCGGTATGGCTGCGAACTTGAATTCAAGGGACTGCAAAGGAGTTTTTAGTATTTCATCCGTGTTACTGCGAACTGAGGTTGGGCAGGTTAGCTTGCTTTACCGCTGCTTGAATGGTCAAAATGTGCATTTCCTGGTGGTGCAGGAACACCCCCAACTTCCCTTTATGCTATTTTCAGAAGAAAGATTCTTCTGGAAGCAATGTGATCCCATCTGCCCGCTGTATTTCTTGCAGGTTACTTGCAATTTTCTTTACAGTGTTTCATTTC